TCGAAAATTTCCCGCTTTTGACATTTGTGGCCTCGCTACGCCACAGTGACTGTAGAAATGTAAAAAGAATGAATGCATCTTCCCCAGAAAGTGGTAAGATGCATCCGTCACTATCCATAGTAGTAATGAGTGCATCTCTACGGGGGAAGATGCACTCTTTTTTTTCTGGTTTTGACAAAGGTGTGGTGAGGCCCTAATTCTGGTGGAACAGCAAGGTCAGGACAGAGAAACCACTTAGCGCTCTGCGGTGGTCAAAGGGCGTCGCCGCACGGGACACGAAACGAAAAACGAAACGAGTGCATCTTCCTGTAGAAAATGGCCAGGTTCATCGGTTTGCTATAGATAGAAACGGGTGTATTTTGCCACCTTTCGTGGGCAGATGCACTCGTTTCTTCTTCGTTTCGTGTGCCGTGCGGCGAGACGCAAAGAGAGGTCCAGCGATGATGGGTGTTGGACATGCATTTGTGGGCAGATGGCACTCCAGTAAGACAACTCGAAGTGGAGTCTGGACTCTCCGGCGTGGAGATGGCCGAACCCAGGGCCGTGGCTCTCTGAGTATACTATTGGTACTGGCTATACACTGTAACAGTTGCACATTTCAAATCCTCCAGTAGTGACGGTCACGGAAAGATGGGCCCAATTTATTTTATTATTTTTTCAAAGAAAAGGTGCTCCAATCTATTCCTGGGGAGCAGTGGGTGGCGGGAACTGGGCCAGCATCCTTTTTCTTTTTTTTTTTTTTTTTTTTTTTTTTTTTTCCGAAAGGGCCCAGTGCCCAAGGCTGATATTATCAACAAAGAATGTTTTGAGGCCGGGGTCCTCACAGTCTACCCGGAGTAGCTGAAACCGAAAGTTGCTGAGAACCGGGCTCAGCGTCCCTCATGTGTTGATGAAAATGATCATGATACTACTGGTAATGATTATGAATTTATAAAGACTATGTTATTTCAGCTGTTCTAAACTCCGGAACCTAAGATAACTCCTACTAGCCATCCTTGCACCGGGATATACTTACTCAAGAACAGTACCAACCAGACCAATTGTCACCCATAGCTGATCTCTTCTCGCCACTAAGTAGCCCCCCCCAGTTCACCACTGAATTGCCTTCCTCCCTCGGCAAAACCCAGATCTCTCTACAAGTTCTCATACTCCTGAAAATTGCAGGTTACAGGGCAATGCCCCTCTGGCATCGGCAAAACAGGGGCACAGAACAGAACAACTCTGCGGATGTCGATCCGAGTGTATCCCTCTCTGAACTCCTATACCCCGGATATAAGTAAAAACTAAGGATTACCTAAGATCCAGAACCAAAAAACTTTGTATGACGTACTTGGAATGAAGCACGGAGGTCAACCGCCGAAGGCCTAACAGATGCTTCACAACCTCAAGCTCCCTAAACAACCCTTCCAAAGTTCTTCGAGATTATCTCACTCTCTGCCAAGCACTTCCAGGCCTCACGCCCCAGTTCCTGCTAGGTTACAGGGCGACACAACTCGCCCCAGCTCCGGCCAGCGTCGTCCCAGCAGCAAACCTTGGTTGTCCCGTAAGATGCCCACCCCAAAGCATCCCCAGACACTCCACCAGGCCTCAAGCTTCTGCATCAACAGGTCACAGGGCAACGCCCCAGCACCGGCCAGCGTCGTTCTAGCACCGAACAACCGCGGCTCACTGAATATGACAACACCCAAAGAACCTAGGAAGCATTGATAGAAATCTTGGAATCGTAAACATTCATAGGTCCCCCCCCGACAGCCATAAACTTTCAAAATTCCCCTCTTAAACCAGGATTAAATTCAGGAAGAGGTTCGAAACTAAACTAAAATGCCAGCCATCCTCAAACCCCCCCTTCAACCAAAGGACCGACAGTCTCGGTTTTCAGTCCTCGTACCAGAACACACATGATCTCATACCCCCCTCTGCTAGGGTAACAGGGCACCACAACCCTCCCCAGTACCGACCATCCTAGTTCTGACGGATAGGAAGTGCCTTCCTCCCTCGACAATTCCTTAATCGACAAACCCCCCAAAACAGGTTACAGGGTCCAAGCCCCAGCACCGACTACGTTGGACGATCTGGTTATGCCTTCCACCCTCGGCATAACTCCATGAGCCTCAAGCTCCCCCTGGGTCACAGAGCCAAAGCTCCAGCACCGGACTGGACCTCCTTCACTCAGCTGCTGCTGCCTGTGTGTGTCCATCTCCTCTCTCTCTCTCTCTCTCTCTCTCTCTCTCTCTCTCTCTCTCTCTCTCTCACCATCTCCGCACGTGCCCTCCGCACATGCGTCACAACGAGGCAGGGGCTTTTGGACGCTCATGGATACAAAAAGGGGTCCTGCAGGTTAAACATATATGGGACATGGAAAGAGAGGACTGGATTGCTGAAGACAAGCTGCGAAGGAAGTTGCCAAGACTCAGAAATTTAGACAGAAATCTGTCGGCTCTGAAAGGAGCCATACCTCGAAGTTGGTCCCACCTACTGAGAGAAGAGTCCGAACAGGGGGCGGGGTCCTGGGTATTTTCAGAGGTAAGACTGGACAAGGTTTGGAGGGTACTAGGGCCCGATTTAGTTGAGGTACAAAAGGTGGAAGAACGACAAATCCTGGGCTCTACCACAGGAAAACAGATCAACAAAGGCCTGGGTCCCTCATCCGAATTACAGAGAAAACAGTGGATACGACAAGGGATTTGGTGGAGGCTACCGTCTTCTGAATCACCCGAATAGAAGGCCCGGTCATTATAGCTGCATTTGGCCCAACTTTCAGTCCAGATGCAGCGATAATGGCCGGGCGTTCTATTCGGGTGAAGAAGGTAGAGTTATCCTGAGCGAGGATGCCAAGAATGCCAAGCTGTTGGGAACAGCAGCTCAATTCAGGGTAGAACCGGGTACAAAAAGCTGGTCGTCCACAATCCCTCACCAAGAGGTGGCTCCATTAATAAGCTACACCTCCAAAATTGGGACTAGGCTGCAACAGTTAACAGTTAAGAAAACACCGCCCTTCTGGCCAGCAGAAGATTGGAAAAGGTCAAGAATGGCACTGAAACACAACAAGATTGGCTGGCCTCTTGGAAAGGGCTGAGGTTGCTACCATCTCAGAAAGATGCTAGCCGTCTGTGGGTACAGTCACTGGTGGTTGTTGCTTCAGCATTATGGTTGGCCCATAAAGGGATGGACCTTTCGATCACCTGTAAGAGGTGTGACTAGGGGTGGGAATCCAACGCTCACCTGTGGCTGTGCTGCGGTCTGGCGGACGAACTGTGGATCTGGTGGTTGAAGCACTGGGATCTGATCACGGGTGTTTCCTGGCCATGGACAGATGACTGGACACTTTATGGAGTCCTGCCAATACAGCAGACATCATTCAGAGAAGGTTGGGCGTATGTAGCCATGGTCTGTAGGCCTGGGGGGTTTTACTCCAAGAAATCTGGAGGGCGAGGAATAGTTTGGTCTTCAGAAAGGAGAAAATCTCGGTTCACGAACAGCAGAGCCAGGTCTGCCTGGGAATCCGTAACATGATATTGGTAGACTGGCAGTCGTGTTTTAAAAGTAGGAAAAACGGCTACCTCTGGTTTTTGAGGACTTGGGACAGAGGGAATCAACTGGCGGCAGTGACACAGGACAAGAAACTGGTAATATCCCGATGGCTTAAACCGCCTTGATGGAATTTGTTTTTTTCGTGGCAGACCGTAATAGGCCTGCTATAGCTTCTGGAACTATGGTATTCGATGTTTAAAAGCTTAATTATGGATAGGTTTTAGCCACCGTGGGGTTGGTTTGTGTTTGATAAATGGCTAGATTTCTTAACTTTTATTGAACTTCAAGGTTTATTTGGAAGAATTTCATTTAATGACATGCAGGGGACGCTGGACCCGGTTTCAAGCAGAGCCTAAGCTGGGTAATGGCCCCAGCCTCCCCCAGGGTTTCCTACCGGGTTGTTTGTGAGGATTCCCGGCCTCTGATTTCATGTGGTAATATATGTTTTGAATTCTTCCAAAAAAAGAAAAAAAGAAAAAAAGTTGGCTCTATTTTGTTTCTTGCGAAGGGGCCATGCTAATTTTTTTTCCCTTCTTTTAAAACCAGTTTGGGTCTACTAGAGGGGGTGGTATGAGCATCCCCGTCTAGTAAACTGGTTGCTCCATTCTATAGTTGGGGAGCTGCACCTGCTGGAAATCGTTCCAGGGTCCACATACATCAAATCATCAAATCATGATCACAAGGAGACCGGGCCATTAGCCGGCTTCAGCTGCTGAACACTGGTCCAGGAATTGACTGACAGATGTCCCCAAGTGCCAGAAAAAACTTCTGATAAAAAAATGTATCTCCACCCGTGAGCGAGCCAGCCCAACAGTGCCTTGTGGCGAAAAGGGGGTAAACTGTTGAAACAGCCCCCGTAGAAATCCTTCTGACATTTGTCGACATTTCAGTGCTTCCGACAGTAGTGTGGCAAGGCCCTCCGCTTTGACCTCGCCGGTGGGAGCCAAAAGAAAAGAAAAAAAAAGAGAAGAAGAAGAAGAACTGAAAAAAACAAAACAAAACTGTTACAAGAAGTGCATTTTATGGGACGCTGGACCCGGTTTCCAGTCTTCGCCAAGCTGGGTAATGGCCCCAGCAATCCAGGTTGGAGAAAAAAAAAAAAAAAAAAAGATGTGGAGGGGTTCACAGTCTCAGCCTCTCAGGAAACAAACAAAAAAAAAAAAGAACAACTGCTCGTGTTCCTCGCCGCCTTCGTCACCTTTCTCGCCATCCTCGTGGTCGTTGCGAACGTCCACGAAATCGTCGCCCATCTCGACTTCCTTGCCGCCTTCGTCATTGTCGGCGCGTTCGATCCCGCCTTCGTCTTCCTCACTGCGAACTTCCCCGTGTTCCTGTTCCTCGCTGCATTCGTCGCCTTAGTGGACACCGTCATCACTGTAGCGAACATCCCCGTCTTCGCCGACTTTTGACAGCCCGTCTTCGTCGCCTTCTGCGCTGTTGCGCTTTTGACAGCCCGTCATCAACGCCAGCGTCGCAGTGCTCTTCCGTCGTCATCCTCGTCTTCGTCGCCTGCCACGCCGTCTTCTCTTCCACCGTCATCGCCGCCGCTGTCGTCGCGGATATGGGCCTTCCGTCAGAACATCTTCCTTCAGGTCGTACGGGTTGTGTCGCGTGTCATGCCGTCACGCGGTTCTGGACGCGGCAGGTCTGCCGGGAAACAGGCGGTCGATGCGGCTCTCCAGGAGAAACGGGGCCGCCACGTGATGAACAAGCAGAGGAAGATCGTCCAAGGCGCCTCCCCGATGGCGAGGAAGAGTGGGCGGCGGAGGGAACAGCTTCACACCTGGAAAGTGACTTCGAAGAATCAGAGGAAGTGCCATTGAAGCGGAAGTCGTCCAGAAGGCCAAGTGGAGCCCTCCGGATCGATGACGTCGGCGAGAGACGATGCATAGGAGGTCGCGGGTCCATGGAAGAAGGCGTCGACGTCAACGCTCGTGCGGCGATCAGGCGAGGCGGAGGAAGTGCCGCCACACAGCATCACCGTGTGCCGTTGCCACGTCTGAACGAACCCCCGCCCGCCCAAGAGGTCGTCGTCCGCGCAGAAACGCCATCAACCCCGCGACAGACGTTGGCGTTGCCGCGCAAGGCATTGGTCAAGGGATCGCAAGCCGATCTCCTGCGCAGGAGCTTCGTGGGGCCGCGACAGGGATCGCTGCACACGCGGCGGAAGGGGCGAGGGCTGGCGTGGCCACAGCGGGTGGTGCTTCCCACGCTGGGGAAGGGGGAAGGTCAGTCGGGGCCGCAACTGCGGTGGCTTCGCATGCGGCGGAAGGAGCGAGGTGGGGGGGAGGGAATGTGGGCGAAGGGAGCAGGGCGGGCGCCGTCGCAGGAGTCGGGGAGGACGATGAAGCTTTGGTGAACAGGGTGCGCCAGCGGAACACGCGAGAAGGGATCGACGCGGCGTCCAAGCTGTGGGTGGACGACATCCGCTTCTGGAACGAGACGGAGGGAAACGCCATTGTGAAGTTAATGCAGGAAGCGCGGTTGTATCTTATAGCGGTGGCGCGGGGAGTGCAGCCTCCAACGCTTCGTCGAAGCATCGTCTTGCCTCACACCACCATCCCGCAGCACAAAATCGACGACGAATCGGAGTTCAGTGTTGCGGAGGACAGGGCGCTGAAGGTGTAGACCGTCGCTCTGCGGGTGATCCACGGGTGGGTGTTCAAGTCGACGAGCAGGCAACAGGGTTACCACGCTGCGTACGGGTACGCGTTGAACCACGCGGCAATTGACATCGCTCGCACGATCTGGATGGGGGAAGAGTGGCGCGTATGTGTGAGCCCCATGGTGTTCCACATCACGCTTGACATGGACATGAAGCTTCCAATGTGGTTCGTCGGCGTGTACATCAAAGACATGCACGAGAACGATGAGCTGGCGGCGTATCAGGAGGCGAGCGTCCAGCGACTGGTGAGTGCATTCACGAGCGCAGTGAGCACAGCGGAGGCCGTCGATGGCGGTAGGGTGTCTCACGAAAGGTTGAAGAGCATCGCCGATGTGATGAGGACCATGCTCGCGGCGACCATGTGGCTCATGCGGATGTGTGGGGACGATCATCGCGTGCATTATGACCCGTGGGTATTCGTCCAACTGACGGCGAAACCCACACTAATTGCATCCATGCATCGCTCGTTCGACGCGCGTCGCCACATCGTGCAAGCCGCAACAGCCATCACGGACAAGTTGGCGAAACCCCCAATGACATTGGTGGCCCCTCCATTGTACATCCCTGACAGGGCGTCGATCGGCGTTAAGTTCTCGCAAGACGCCACGTTGTCCTCCCCCATCGAGGCTCAAAAGCTGGATTGGTTGGGCACAGGGCCTCCAGAAGACGTTGATGACGAAGTAGGCGACGACGAAAGGAGCGTGGGGGGTTCATAACGCTGTCAAAGCGCAACGTCTGCATGGACTGCCACATCACATGTCGCGGTTGGGCGGAAGAGGCACATCTCTAAAACATGGTGACCTGCGATAGGGGACGCAAGAGGGGGGGGGGGGGGGGGGGGGGGGGGGGGGGGGGGGGGGGGGGGGGGGGGGGGTTTCGGGTGTTGGGTGTGGAGGGGACGGGTTGAGCATGGGGATGCATGTCTCGCGTTTCGTGTCAAAATTCAGTAGGGTGTGTGTTGGAGACGTTGTTACGATTGTGGACGACGCCGGTGGTCAGGGGGGGTGGACGTTTCAGTGTTGATTATTACCACCGTCCCGGGTACTCAAACTTGGGGTTTCGCATAGACATTTCGTTTTCTTAACGTGTTCGTTCTTCGTTACACAACTGTTGATTCTATCTTCGAATCTGTGCAAGTGAGCGTAAGGGGTGGCATTGATTTATGTTGTTGGCGCCCATGTCATCCTGTCGACTCCAGTCATGTTGCGGTTGCATACTCATTCATCAACGGAATTGAAAGGGAGACGTAAGGGTGGGCAGGGCTGCTTGCTTGACAGATGATTAAATGAGGGATGTTCACACACATCATCGCACATGTTGGAAGAAAAGATGGCATGAGAAATAACAAACAACACCGTCCTGCAATTTTGTCTATTCCAGTGTTGGGAAAAGAGAAAGACACGCCAAACACCATTCATGCCGCACACAGTAAGCCCCAAGTTGGCCCATTGTCATGTCTCAAAAAATGAAAACAGCAAAAGAAAAATAGAGAAACAAATAACAACGAGAAAGAAATTAACAAAAACAACACAAAACAACAAAACAACTGTTCATGGAGATGCAGTATATAAAACAAAAAGGGCCTTATAACAATTCCAATCCAAAGTTCAAGAAAAAAAAAGAACAAACGATGAACACCAGAACTCCGCCACCTTGACACGTCGCCCAGGGCGACACCGCACCGCACGACAACCACCTGTCTACACGTGGCCAATTTTCGCGTCGCCCCTCCTCCACCTCGTTCGACTGCGCGATCGCGGTCCACCCAAGGCGCCGCCACACACCTCAACGGCGCGCGGCGCCAAACACAACGCAATGAACTGCCGACACACGTCGCCTCGTGCACGGCCACCCAAACCGAAATGGCCACCGCCGCTTCAACTCACGAAATCCGACCAATGGCACGCAAATACAACGACAACAACTCCTTGCACGACATGAAGCTATCCACGTCTTCTCCCGTGATTGCAAGGTTGCTCCCCGCTTCGTGCAGCCACGCTTTCTCGCCACCGCCACGTCATCGAGGCCGATCGCTCCGCTCGCCTCGCCGCCCTCACTGTATCGCCATTCGCTCGGCCAGTGTGTCTCGTAGAATAAGGGCATCCCCTGTGGACGACTCCATGCACATCAGCCTCAGGGGACAATCCATCCCAAGATCCACCTTGCGACGCACACCATCTGGCCCGACCTCCCACAGTAGATTGTCATCGAAGGGGATTCCCATGTCGATGAGTATGGTGTGGAGAATGCAGACGGCGACGAACGGCTGCGGCAACGTCTCCATGTTCGTCTTGTGGGATCGAAGGAACAACCTCCACATCCCCTTCAGTCTGCCGAAAGCCCTCTCCACTGCGCCCCTCGCCGTCTTCTGCTTGTTATCGAAGCGCAACTCCGTCGGGGTTTGGGAGACACCGCCGTAAGGGACGACGACCCATTCTGAGGGCGGATAACCATTGTCCACCAGCAGATAGCCATTCGTCTGCACACCGAAAGGCAGAAGGACAGGTGGCCCAATGAAAAGCTCTCCTGCCTCCGCACGCGCGCATAAACTGGACAGATGGACGATCCTGACGTCGTGGCAACTTCCCGAGTAACCGATGAACACATCCAACACGCACAAGTTCAAATCAACGACGACCTGCACCTAGACGGAGAAACGCCGTTTCCTATTGTAGTAGTCCTCCCCGGGGCAATTCGCTGGCTTGTCGATCAAGATGTAGGTGCAGTCGATGCACCCATGGCAGTTGGGGAAACCCTTGTCAGCGAAAGCGCGCAAGACGACCGCCTTCTGCAGACCCGTCGGCCACGATATCTTGTCAGGGTACGCACTGAGCAACGCCGCAGTTACATCCCGCACTGCCACCAACCCGGAAGATCTGCCAATCCCAAAGCCGCATGTCCCGCTCTCGTATGTCTCCCCCGACGCCCACCTGTACAAAGCGTCATGACAATTTGGTCTGGCTGGAGGGGCTCCCTATAGAAAGTGACACGCCGTTCAAGGAAGGGAGATAAAGCTTCTGTGATCTCTCGGAACACACGTGGCGACATTCGTAGCTTCTCCTTGAAGTAGTCCCCCGTCGCGTCGTCACATAGTCGCAGATCCTCCTACGTCCCGCCTGTCCGTCGCTTCATCCACCATCTGGGCGTCGCTCTGGGGAACGCTCCAGACCCCATGGCGTAGCACACCTGCAGCACGGCGTCGCAAATGGCACCGTTGTCGTCGTCCTCCATACACGACGACTGCAGCGTCCTCTTCCGCCGCGCACGACTGGCCGCTCTCATCCTCCCCTCGCCCCTCTCCAATTAACAACGGAAGAGGATGGCGCTCACGGCCGCTACCACGGCAGTCCTCTCCACCTTCGACAGTGTATCACGTCCCGCCAACCCGTCCGTCGCCATCGCAGGCAATGGCAGCGAGGATCCGGTCGTCGCGAAGTGCAGAAGACGGCAGACCACGATGCGGGGCGCACAACAGCGCTGCTGCGAGTGGCGACCTCAGAGCTGAGCGCAAACGACGACGGAAATCAACGTTTGCGAATACAAGAACGAACGCGATCGTGTCACGCCGTGTCTACTGCTTCGAACTCGTACATGTACGTTCCGGGTGTCCACTGACACGCAGCCGCCGCCCCACACCAAAACGGCCACCGCCGAACCTGACGTTGCTGCCGTCAGCCGCAAGGGACGCCCACGGTTCTACCCACTTGCTTGCGGAAATTTGAATTCAAATTTCGAACCCGGGACTTCGCGCCTTTTCCGTGCCATTTTCTTTTTTTTCCCGACGCCGACCCAAATCCTTCACGCCGCCCACACTGGCCCACCGACGTCCACACGGACATGCAGCATGGACCAACCGCCGACCCCCCCTCGCCACGGGATGCCCCGAGGAATCGTCCTCAGGGAGCAATTCCGAGGATGAGTGGAACGACGACGCGAATTTCCACGGGCGACGACGGGATAATTTCCTCGGGCCCCGAGGACGGCCCGAGGAGTGTCGAACGAGCCCCTTAGAGTTCGGGGAATTTCTCAGGGAACAAGAAGAGAAGAAAATCCTGATCAAGAAGGTAAAGTGAGGTGAAAAGGGAAAGCAAGATAAACGAGGAAAAGGGAAGAGGCGGAGGGGGGGAGAATGGTCAGAGGGAGTTTCAGGGGCAAGTAACTCTGAACTGCTGCAGTGACTGGGTACCAATGGGATTCAACTGAATGAATGAACCTCCTGCCCTGGGCCTAGGCCGAAGTGATATACCGGCCTAGGTCCAGGAACGGAACAACCTGGTACCGGACCAGGGTCAGGCCGACGGCCTGAAACTGGTCCGGCCTCACTGCCGGGCCGTAGGGGTACCGCTCCACGATCCTCGGACCTGTGAATGGATCAAGCGATACATCAAACACGCTATCCGCTGAAATAGCGGAAACCCAAAAGGAACGGCAAAAGAACAATCCTMGATGCGGAGCAAGCTCCATGCAGGAAAAGGGATGCAATGCAGACTAAGCCTCAAGCCTAATCTAAACAACAATGTCTGGTCTGTGTCGACCCAGAAAGAGAAAAATGTCTGACCTGTGTCGGCCAAGAAAGAGAAAAATGTCTCATGAGCCAAATAGGCTGGATATGAATCAACCCAGGGCCCTAAAGGCCAAAGAATAACTAAACCAATGTCCTAAGTCGAAAACCAATGTGGCACAGTCTCACGTGCCCTGTACACAAGCACAATACCTGAACAAAGGAGAAGGGAACTCAGTCGCATGGCAGGGGTAGGAATGGGTGGGAAGGCGGCAGGTACAGCTCTCAAAGTAAACTCCAAGGGGGCACCCACACAACCAGGTAAGGGTCATCAGGCTCAGAGGGAAAGTAACAGCACGACACCGGGCTCAATGGAAACCATCAAACGGGTACCGCCAGCTGAAAGGGGGGAAAGACACTCACACAAGGGAGCACACATAAGGTGAGCCTGGAAGGAGAGAGGGCTATGCCGGCATAGACATGTGGCCAGAAGCCGCGAGCAAGGAAAACGTATACTCCAGAGGAGGGCGTGCAGCATAAGGTAAGGCAAAAGGGCGACAAGCGGACACACCCACATAGACAGGGAAAATAGGGGTCATCATGCGACTGAAGGGTAAGCCCGAGGGTGGTGGATAGGTGGGAGTGATGGGGACTCTGTAGCCAAACAAGTGAAGTAGTCCAACTGATGGGTCTCCAGACTGAAGTCGAGCCGAAGTAGCCTGGATGAAGTAGGAGTACTACAAGAACCGAGTAGAAGTCCGAAACAATGCGACAGGTACTCTGGTAATGAGGAGAAGCACTGAGGTCGAAAGTCGAATGTAGAAGCCGAATGTAGAAGCCGTAGAAGCCGAAACCGGGAGCTGCTGCATAAGTGTCCAGGAATGGTAAAAGATAGAGAGCGTATGGGGGATATAGATCAGTCACGAAAACGAGAAG